GAAATCATGCAGAAATGGTGAGTTGACAGCAATTCGATCTCTGGTCTATTTGTACTTTCTCAACTGAGTCACTCAAATGAACTGGGCTAACCTCTGGAGGCACTTCCTAAGGTCCTCTTCACAACTTCTTACTCATATTCATTTTCTTTTTTGTTCTTTCACTTTTAAATACTTCCTTTTAAATTCCGTTAATTTTTTATTTATTTTTTATTATTTTTTATTTCAATTTCTTTTACACATTCAATCACGTTATTTAGCTTGCAAAGTGAATATTCCAACATGTGTACATTTCTCATCAGTCCAATCAACGATACTATAAAGTTATCTTCAACAGATAATAACCCACTTCTTTGTCCCATAAATGCCTATAATCACATTCACTTTCAATCCCACATGTAGCAATGTAGATGTTTTGAACAGGAATGCTGACTTACTTATGAAGCGAGCTCAGTCAAGTGATAGGAATTTGCTGAAGTGCCAGGCTAAAGAACTTGTGAGATAGGTATGAAACTTCTGCTAACTTTATCATTATGACATACACCATTGCGTATATGCATCAGACTAATGTTTTAATAGACAATAGCGATTCTAGCCTGTGGAGGGAGAGTGCTGCTACTCAGAGATGGTGCCCCGTCAATTCATTTCAACATTTCTGAAGAGCCATTCAGCATAACACAGAAGTAGTAAATTCAAATGTCTTCAGAGACCTGGCAGATATAAATTAATGAGTAGGTAGATGTTAAGAATATCTAAGAGTGGACCAGAAGATGGTATGAAGGTTAAGGCAAGGAGATTCCACATGGCAGACTCTGCACTTCGAGTCCCGGACCCAGTGGCTTGAAAATCACACTGGGCACATGTATGTCAGTGCCCAAAATTCTGAGAGGAATAGGGATTGCAGCATGGCCATCCCCTGTGAGAAATAATGTTTCAATTTCTCTCTCTCTCTTTCTCTCTCTCTGTGCCCAAAATTCTGAGAGGAATAGGGATTGCAGCATGGCCATCCCCTGTGAGAAATAATGTTTCAATTTCTCTCTCTCTCTTTCTCTCTCTCTCTCCTGTTTCTCTCCAGCAAGCACATGCACACTATAGCATAAACACAGAAAAAGAGGAGGATAAAAAAAGAATGTAAGAGTGATGGGACTTGTAGAAAAAAGGGGTTGGCACACATTCTACATAAAGGCTTTAATTTTTTTTTAAGTCAGGGCCAGCAGGTGGTGTAGTGGTTAAGGTGCTGGACTTCCACAGAGTTTATTGCAGTTCGAGTCCCAGACCCAAGACTTCCACATGGCTGATTGTGGTTCCAGTCCTGGAACCAGTGGCTTAAAAATCATGCCAGGCACATGCGCATGCAGGCCCAAAATTCCAAGAGGAGAATGGAGGAAAAGGGATTGTATAATGTGCTTTGGAGAAGATGGGACAACCTCATCACATTCCAAATCTATAACTTTCAGATGGTATACAAGGGGTATTTAGAAGTTCTCTTAGCTCTGTCTGAAGAAGTGCAGAGATTAAGACTGGGCAGAAGTTGCTGAGCTATCTGGAGGATGGTCATGTCAAACAATGGACAAGAAAGACTGGAGAAAACTGATGATGCAAGCTTCTCTGTAGTTGTCTAAGGAAGCCGTTCCAAAACCTCAAGTGTGTCCTCATCTATGAATGGGACTGGGGTCAAGCTAAACTACACTACAGTAATCACACAGATAACCTCTGTTATGGAGACTTCAGAAGTAGAAGCTACCAGTAACAGGTGCAAGAGACAGAAAGATGTTTCCTGAGCATCATTTGCAAGGAAGAGCTCCATCTCTTCATCCTTCTTTCTGCCTCAGGCACCAGCAATTTTTTACTCAAAAAGGGAAAGAAAGAGGAGAAGGTGTCAAGGATGGGCCACTTTCCCCTTTCTACTCCAAGTTGTTAGACTGTAAAAGGGAATTAAAGAGCAAATCAGGACCAACCATATGGCCTAATGATTAACAGAGCCAAATCTCACATGGCCAACCACTATTCAAGGCATGGCCCTGGAAGCTTGAAAAAAACAGGCAGGGCACATGTGCATACATGTCCCAAATCTGACAAGATGGAGAAATGGAGAAGGGATCATAATGTGAGCATACTTCCTTGGGGATGCTTTTTCCCTCATTGTATGATTTTTTTCTCTCTAGTGAGAAGACCCTTTGGCAATGATGAAAGAAAGCAAATCACACCATTGCCACCCATGCTATCAATGTCCCTTGGGCCACAATTTGATCCTGCCAGGTTTGAAATGGATAATAAATTGAACTTTTAGACTGCACTGGTATAATTGTTAATAATGAAAAATAACCAGGAAGGTATGGAATATGTTTGAGGTGTCATTTAAAGAGGGTAAAGTTTGAGGTGTCACATAAAGTGGGTAAAGGAAAAATTCAACATAGCAAGATGAAAGAGGTGATTTGTAAACCTAGATTTGTATAGCCCATTTCCCACCCTGGATATTCTGTCTCAAAGGATCTAAGCAGGCCTGGAAAATTACATCATTTTTAAATTAAATCGAATTTATTTATTCATTTATTTTTAATTTGACTAGAGAGAGAGAGAAAGTGAGAAAGCAAACCACCAGATCCAAGACTCAAACCATGGTCAACCATGCGGGAGTGTCCAGCACCTTAACCATCACACCACCTGCCAGTCCTGAAAATTACATCTTAAACAAGAACTCCTTCTAGTTTTATAGTAATTCAGCCAGTTCTCTGATCTAGTCAAAGCTTGCATTCTTTAAAGGAAATGTCTTTTGATGCATTCCAAAGGAAAAACATGCTAACAGCAATAACGATGAGAAGCTAACTTTATCTGGCACCTATGTCTTTCTCTGCTTGTGCGCCTCGTCATTCATTGTTACAACAACTTGATCAATTCAGCCTGGTGCTCACATTGCCTCATCTATGTATTAAAAATTTTTTAAATTTTATGATAAACATTTTTATCTGTATTTTTTGTGGGTTGGTGAACTAAAGACTATGAAAGTCAAATTGTTTAAAAAGGCTCTAACTCTAGCCTTTGAGACTTTGGTGATTTTAACTTTGTTCCACTACCTAGGGCTACAAGTGGTGATAGATTTAGGCGAGAAGTCACACTTTTTTTCTCAATTAATTGTATTTACAATTGATCCATTGACCCTAAGTCATTTGACTATGATTATAATGTTACATAATCATTGCTAAATAATGTGGGGGTGTGTATGTGAGTACAGTGATATATATATATATATATAGAGAGAGAGAGAGAGAGATAGATATATAGATATATGGATATAAATATAGATATAGATATACACACACATATATATATCACACATAAATATAGTAATACATATAACTATAACAAATTTATTCACAAATAGATTTATATTTAAGAATAGATTTCTAAAAATCAATACTCTATTGTCAGTATTTCAAAGATTCTCTTGAAATCCTCTGATGGCTTAGTTTATGTGAGGTAATATGATACTTACATGATATGTGCTTCTGTATGTCTTAATGCGTTCTGAAGAATTAAAAATTCCAAGTAGCCCATTGCTAATGATCTCCATGAGGACTGGAAAGCAATTTAACCTCTTGGTGTTACATGCTACTGAATATCTGTGATCCTAAAATGTAGCAAATACAGATTCTAAGTCCTCAGAAAACAAATACAAAATTTATTGAATTAATAAGCTAGAACGTCACTCAACTTATTGATAAAATTGTACACCATTGTCCATGTTTGATGAAATACAGCAACCAGAGTCCAACGCACCTTTTCATCACCTGCCACAATGATTGCACCATTGTACGATGGCTCATCTGTGCCATTTCTAATTCCCAAGGCATCCACTTCCAAAGCTATGTTCTGTTGCCTCAGTGAATGTATAAAATTATCAATGCTTGACCCTACCAGGGAGGTAAGATCAAAGGAAGAAAAAAAATGTAAAAGTGGTCAAGTAATATTTTTTTTTAATCCAAAGTGAGATTACTCAAGTCATATCCAAAATAATGGCTGTCTAAGGATTTCTTTAAAAAGGCTGAATTAATATTATGGTACTAAAATCTATTCTGATATTATAGGTGTGATAAGGTGACTTAACTGAAAGCCTAGGAACTTACTTAACAATTTCTAGAAGTATAAAAATAGTAATCACTGGTAACATATTTTCTTATGAATTTAGAAGGTTTTTACAGAGCCAAGAAATAGATCATCTTTTTTTTTTTTTTTTTTTTAGAGCGAGAGATTTTGCTATAGAGTGCTTGTGCTTGCTGGGGACGTAGAGAGAGACAGAGAGACAGAAAGTGAGATATCACTCCCCAGGGAGGATAGCCATGCTACAATCCCTCCTCCTCCATTCTCCTCTCAGGAGTTTGAGAATGCAAGCACATGTGCTTGGTGTGAATTTCAAGCTGCTTTGTCTGGGATTTTAACAATAGTCAGCCATGTGGGAGTCCAGTGCCTTAACCACTACACCACCTTCTAGCCCCTAGAATGCATAGTCTTAAGAAAATAATATGAAAAAACCTCAAAAGCCAATCAATAATTTACCTCACTAAATTCCTTTTGGTTACTTTGCACAACAGTATTAGGGTTTAAATAAACTTGCAAAATGATTTATAAAACAAATTCTTTAATCCTGTGTTTTTCATGTTTTAATTAATTTTCTGTTTGGTCTTATAAGTCTGATGAAACTTATGTTCCAAAATATGCAGAATTTATTGTTTTTCTTCATGTTGTATGTTTTCTGGGGAACCCTTCAAAGAAAAAATATTTACAAATTGCCTTTTTTTTTTAGAGAGAGAAATTTTTTGCTATAAGGCACATGTGCTCGAGAGAAACGAGACAGAAAGTGAGAAATCACCCCCTCCCCCAGAGGAATGGCCACACACTGCAACCCTTTCTCCTCCATTCTCCTCTTGGGACTTGGGCATGCACACACACACTCCCAGCATGAGTTTAAGCTACTAGAACATAAACCATGGTCGACTACGTGGGAGTCCAGTAATGTAACCATTTCGTCATCTGCTGGTCCCAACAAATTGTATTTTAACCCCAAGCTCACCTGTTTTATTGATGACCAATAAGTGGGTCAGAGGAACTTGTGGTGGTTGTCCTGGTGACAAGAAGTACGTATTTGGAGATAATTCCCAAGAGGAAGATTTATGATATAACTCAAGAAATAGATGTTCCAAAAGTTGAGGTAAAAAGCTGATCCCATAAACCAATAACCTATGAGGAAGAAAATGTAAAAGAAAAATAATCTATAGTAACGTCAGTGGGTTTTTTAATTTGACTAGAAAATAAATATGATAACAGAAATAAATGATAAGCACAAACTAAAAATTTGGATCATGCTTTTTTCCTCCTTTTTCATTTTCCTAAAATAAGATGGTTATTATGTAGCTATTTATGGCCCCTCTAAATTGGGCACTTTGATAATTTCATTCAGATTTATGAAGTCTTTTGATTAGGACTTTGGAATCTCTCTTTGCAAGATCTAGTTCTTTGTTTTGTTTCAGTCGTGCAGTTCTTCTCTTTTCTGGACCACTGCAGGTTGCCTTATCACCCACACTCATACTTACTACATTCTGAACATTTCATCATCTTACAATTTCTGTAAATTATAACACATTCTTGTTCACCTGGCTCCAAACTGCCATCATTTTCCATTTCTTTCTTTTCATTACATTTTTTTTTTCAATGATTGACTGTTATTTCTGTTGTTGTTTTGGTTTTTGACATAGGGCACGTGTGTTCACCAGAGAGACAGACAAAGATAGCAAGAGGGAAAATGAGAAATCACCACCACCCTCCCTGCCCAGGAGGGTTGGCCACACTGCAATCCCTGCTCCTCCATTCTCCTCTGCAGATTTTGGGCACACATGCACATACACCCAGCATAATTCCCAAGCCACCAGGTCTGGGACTGGAACCACAGTCAACCATGTGGGAGTCTAGCACCTTAACCACCATGCCACCTACTGGCCCTGATTGAGTATTCTTAATTAACCACCCTTTCATCATTACTGTTTGCTTCCAAACTTTCTTCTCTTTCTTCCATTTTCAAGCTGGACCTTTACTATCACTTTTCTTACTGTTTTCAATATTGTTGTTATTTTCTCCAGTGTTCCCTATTTCCAAACATTTTTGCACCATTGCCCAGCTAAGCTTTTTCGCATTCTGTCCTAGCGATGTCAATCATCTGGTCAAGAAAAACAATAAAACCTTACTATTTCCTTATTATTCATAAAGTTCAAACTCTTTAGCTGTATGTAGTGTGTTCTTAAAATTATTTTTTACTGTTTCATGCATTGTATGCTGTAATTAACTGTAATTAACAGTTCTTCAGTTTGCTCATGAATTCTCATATTCAGTACTAGTCCCCTCTACTCAAATTTCCATCTTCCTTTCTCTCCTTAGCTAAATAAATTCTATTTTCTCACGTCAAATTCAAATTCTCTCTGACCTTTTTCTCTGATGCTCCTATTTTAACATAGTCTCTCTCCTACTAAATGCCATAGTTTACAAGGTTGTCTATTCTGTTATATACTTATTTAGTGTATGTCTAATCCTCCTCAAGGGCAGACTTTCATGTCTGATTATTGTCATAAATGTGACAAACATTTAACAAGAAAGTGTTGCATAGAGATGCTCACAAATACTTCTGATAAATGAGTGTTCTCAGTGCAGGGCTGAAGTGATAGATATGTATGGGAACCTTACAATGGGCTCCAGATAGGACTGAGATGCTAAAGCAGATCGGTGCACTGCTTAAAGGCTGTAACATGGAAATTCTGCCTGAGTTTCCGGATTGCTGGTCTACCCTATGGGTTCAGACTTGTCAGCCCCACAATTGCTTGAGTTATTAATTTATGTACATGTATATTCTATTGATTTCATTTCTGTGGAGAATTCTGACAGAGATTTTGGTATCTTATAGAATGAGGAAATGGGATGTTTAAATATGATCTAAGTGCCAACATCCAGCTGCATATGAAGCACTTCAGGACTTCTCATACCCTAATGGTTAAAGGAGCAGGATCCCACATGGCTGAATGTGGTTCGAGTCTCACCCCCAGCTGCTCAGAAAACACACTGAGCACATATTAATATGTTCCCAAAATACTGAATGGGTAGAGAAGTGGAGAAGAAGGGATTGCAGAGTGACCACATCCCATTGGAGGGTACTTTTTCCCTCTCTCTCTCTCTCTCTTTTTATCTCTCTGTCTCTGTGTCTCACTTGTATGAGCACATGTGCTCTCTAGCAATAAATTAAAAAATAAAAAACACTTTAACCCATTGGCAAAAACAAAATACGTGTGAAATTAAAAGAAGAATTCTACCTTTTTTCTGTCTTAATTACAGACCCACATGAAAAATTTCAAAATTTAGAAGACCACATGCCGTTGCTGATATTTATTTCATCTGAGGGTTGTTTTGTTTTTTGCCTTGTGCTCTTGTTTATTTTGAGCACACAGACCAAACGAATCTGAAAGCCTCATAAACTCACATGACCAACAGGATTTTTCTTTCATTCTTTAACTTTAAGAAGCGAACTTTGGCTATAGCACAGAGCTGCTGCCTCCAGAGTGCCATGCCGCTGACGATTGTTCTTGTTTCCTCAAAGGATGACAACACTTGTTCCAGCTCAGCAAGGCTTCCCATGTCTTTTTCCCCATCACTTTGTAATTGTCCCCAAAGTCCAATATCTAAAAGATAAGGTCAATAATTTATAAAATGTCATTTTAATTGTGCATTATTTCATTTTCTTATGACTATCTCCTCAATCAAAGGTATCAGGATTATTATCTTGGACAAAGATGCAAGTAATTTAATTTGTGGCATTATTCAAGTAAGCATTGGATAAATAGGAAAAAAGCAAAAACTATTGACTTAATTTTTAAAAATTTTGTGCTTCCTGAAAAAATAAAAAAAAGGGTCTCTATAGCTTTACAAACTTGACAAGACTTAATTTACTCTAGGGAAATAAATGAAAGAAATTCATTAAAAATGTATTTATGACCAGGTCAGCCCTGTTGCCTAGTAGTTAAGGGAGCTGGGTCCCACATGGCTGACCACAATTCAAGTCTCAGTCCTGGTGGCTTGAAAAACATGGCAGGCACATGTGTGTGCATGCCCAAATCCTGCCAGGATGGAGGAATGGATGAGAAGGGACTGCAGTGTGACCACACCCCACTGCAGGAGTTCTTGTCAGTCTCTGTTTCTCTCTATCTCTGTCTTTTTCTGATAAGTGCACACACTCGACAGCAATTACGTGTGTGTGAGCATGTGTGTGTGTGTGTGTGTGTGTGTGTGTGTGTGTGTGTGTGTATGTGATCCTGACAAGACATAAACTATCTTTGTACTTTCTCAAGATGGGAAAATTAATTCATACAAAAGCCCCTGTTGTCCTCTCTAAGAACAAAATTTAAAAATTATAGAGACAATTTTTTTAAGATAATAGTTTAAAATGAGATAAAAGTTACATTTTGGAAAAGAAGCCTGAAAAAAATATGATCAACTTCAAATTTTAGAAATCAATAAAATACATGCATTAAAGATTAAGTAAAGATACCAGCAGATGGTGTAGTGGTTGCATCACTGGACTCCCACATGGCTGACCCTGGTTTGAGTCTTGGACCCACTGGCATGAAAAATCACACCAGGCATGTGTGTGTACATGCCCAAGGTCCCAGGAGAAGAATGGAGGTGAAAAGATTGCAGCAGAGCCATCTCCCCCGAAGGGTGATTTCTCGCTTTCCCTCTCCTGTGTCTGTCTTACTGTCTCTCTGGTGAGCATATGTGCCCTAAGGCAAACACTTCTAAAACATTTTTTAAATAAATAAATAAAAATTTTTAAATGGGGAACAGCAGATGGTGTAATGGTTACATCACTGAACTTCCAGGATCAACCATGATTTGAGTCCCATTGGGGCTTGGCAGCTTGAAACTCATGCTGGGTGCATGTGCGTACATGCCCAAAATCCTGGAGAGGGAAATGGAGGAGAAAGGTTCACGGCATGGCTAGCCCCCTGGGAGGTGATTACTTGCTTTCTGTCTCTCCGTTGAGTGCACACATATTATAGCAAAAATCTTTCTAAATGAATAAATAACTCAATAAAAATTAGGTATAACCACTAAAAAATATCAAATCTATAACTTCAAAGAAGAATACAAGGGCTGGCTTCATGGACAAATGATAATGTACTGCTCAAGAGAAGCCAAATCACATATCACAACTGTGGTTCAAATTCCCAGCCTGGTCTTCCTGCAATATTCCAGGCACGTGTGCTGTTCCCATGACCCAGTGGATTGGAGAACTGGAAAAAGGGGATTGTGGCATAATCAGAACCCATGAAAGGCACTTCTTTCTTTTTCTCTCTCATTCTCACTTGTGCACAAACACAAACTCTATCATTAATAAAGACAAAAAATTTTAAATAATTAAGAGGAAAACTGGGATTAAAAAAACATTTGCTTGGTCCCTCAAAAAAATAAATCATGCTGTCCTCACGGCCTAGAGGGTAAGGGAGCTGGATACCACAGGCCAATCACAATTTGAATACTGGCTGTAGCAGCTTGGAAAGCAATGTGCCCATGTGCATGCATGTCAAAGAGCACAACGGGATAGAGGAATAGAGGAGATGGTAATGTGGGTGACTACTCCCTATTGGGGGAAGCTTTCTCTCTCTCTCTCTCTCTCTCTCTCTCTTTCTCTCTCTCCTTTCTAGTGAGCACATGTGCCCTCCAGCGATAAAAATAAATTAAAAAAAAATTAAATAATAATAAAGTGCACAATACAGAATGAGTACCATAAGATCATAGTAAGCCAGAAACAAGGAATTATATTAAAAACAATCAGAAAATAAGGATACAAGATAAGGAGGAGAATAAGGATACCTATATTCAGGTAATATTACAGTACATATTTCTGTCTGCTCTATAGGGAGGTAATGTTGTACATCACTATATTCCACAGAGATTCAATTCTACTGGCTTTAAATTTTCCCAGTACCAGCCTGAACCACAGTCCCAACAAAATCTTGTAATCTCTGGAACCAGCCGCTGGCATAATGGCTACATCGCTGGACTCCCATGTAGTCAACCATCATTCAAGTCCCGGACCCAGTGACTTAAACTCATGCGGGTCACATGTGCATGCATGCCCAAGATCCTGAGAGAAGAATGAAGGAGAAGGGATTGCAGTGTGGCCATCCTGCCTGGGGGGTAATTTCTCACTTTCTGTCTCTCTGTCTCTCTCTGTCTTTCTGATGAGCACACGCGCCCTATAACAAAAACCTCTCCAAATAAATAAATAAATAAATAAATAAAAATTTAAAAACCCCAAAATCTTGTCATCTTTTTTTTTTTTTTAAATTAAAGACAATTTTAGAGAAAGATTTTTGCTATAGGGCACATATGCTCGCTAGAGAGACAGAGAAACAGAAGAAAGAAATCACACACACCCATACCCCCTGGGGGAAATGGCCATATCACAATCCCTTCTCCTCCTTTCTCCTCCCTGGGATTTCGGGCACATGTGCACATGCACACAGCATGAATTGTAAGCTGCCAGGTCCAAGACTCGAACCACAGTTAACTATGTGGGAGTCCAGTGACGTAACCATTACACCATCTGCTGATCTCCAAAATCTTATAATCTCATTACTCGAAGTATATTTTCAAGATAAAATATTACAGAGAAAGATAAAATTCAAGCTTCTTTCTTTTGTTCTTTCTTTTTTACCTGATTCATCAATAGTTGGCTTTCCTTCTAATTTCAGGAACACCTCATTCAAAGTTGTCATGGAAACACCGTAATTCTCAATGCCTTGGTTAGCACATCTATCAAGGTCCCTGTAAAGTTCTAAAGTAAGGACAAAATGATCGAAAGAACATAACTTATAAGTTGAAAATAATCATATTTTAAAACTATCGTTGATAGGGCAAATGTACTCACCAGAAACAACACTGTGAGATAATGTTTCCTTCTTTCTTTTTTTTTTTTGTGAGGCCTTTAATTTGAGTTTATTGACAAAACATGCCCACTTTTAGAGCCATGTTCCCTTATTTCTGAAATGTGTTAGTTTCCATGTCTTCTTGAGTATCAAAGTTTAATCTATATATTTATTTTCCCATGCTTAAACAACTACGTAAGTATTTCAAACAAATTGCTTTATTGAATGTATTCTCAAATGTTTTATTCTGTTTTATTATAGGGAGTGTTTATTTCTACAAGCTGATAATGAAAGTGTATTTTCCAGAGAAGAGAGCTTTGTACTTTAATTTTAGAAACTATTTTTAGGGAACTAAAATAACAAATGCAAAAAACATGAATTTTTTAGAAATAATTAAATTTCACAGCAAAATTGTGACTCTTAGAATGTTTGGCAGCTACAGGTTAATCTTAATTACTTTCACTTAGATTATAGCATTATGGTACAGTGTTTAAAAAACAATATTCATATCATGTATGATTCTGTTAACTCTCCTTCAGTAGTCTGCCACTGTTTTCACAGACCTCTTTTTGCTCTGACTTTGCGCTCTTATTCATTTCTGCAACAAAATTTCCTCCAAACTAATTCTAGCTTGACACTGACCTGCACTTCTCAATTGCACATGTGATGTGAAGCAGCTTTAACATCCAGGTGCCTTGCTTTACTCATAAGTGACATGAGGATAATATCAGGGACTAAATTACCGGTGACCTTGTAATTGGGCCAGGACTATCCGAAGGATTAATGCACAATGCCATGTTCTCAGCAAGCATTACAACCAACCATCAATTTTAACCACTGTTATTGTTAGTAACCACTGTTCTCAAATCTTTGGGAAGTATATGGTCCCTATGTTTTGTTACCTGGAAATTTGTTTGTCCTTTCCAAAGGCAAAAGATAGACAAGTTTTTCTTCACTTTGTGCTGTTAATTTGGCATCAGGGATGTGCTGTTTAACCAGTGATGTTATATTCTTTGGATCACACATTTCATTCAGATGCAAGCTAACATTTCAAAAGAGTAAGTTCAAGTTATTTTAGTCAATCTTATCTCTAAAATTAATTTCCTATGCAGCATGCACTTGGCATTTCATTAATATTTATGAAACAAAAACCGTTTAATTTATTGGGAGAAGCAGGATGTAAAAATACTAATAAAGTCTGAACTGTTTGATCTGTACATTATGACGGAGGAACTAGTGTAGGAGATGATTAGAGTCAAGTAAGGTAACTCAAGGAGTGTTGTTTGGAGAAAAGAGATATGTAGCCAGACACTGACTGGGGTAAGGTGGAGGGGAATGCCCAAGTTCATCTCGTCCTATTTAAAACTCAATCTTGAATTCTCCCTTTGCTATTACATATGAATTCTGAAAAACCTAGGACATGATCAAACAAAAGGAAGTAATTTTGGTGCAGTCATTAAAAACATGTCTTAATGCTATACTAACAGATGTTCCAGTATGCAAGCAAGATGTTTAACCTCTCTGAGAATTATTTTTCTCATCTGTGAAATGGAGTAATATCCAGATATCGAAATAACTCCTAAAGACACAACTAAAAGGTATGGATAAGGCCAGCAGGTGGTGTGGTGGTTAAGACATTGGATCCCACAAGGCCAACTCTGCAGTTCAAGTCCCATACATGGTGGCTCAAGAAACATGCCAGGTGCATGTATGTGCGTCCCCAAAATCCCAAGATGAGAATGGATCAGAAGGGACTGTGGTGTGGCCATACCCTCTGAGGGGTGATTTCTCACTTTCCCTCTCTGTTTCTTTCCAGTGAGTGCATGTAACCTATGCAAAAAAAAAAAAAAAAAAAAAAATTAAGTACCTGTAATATACACTAAGTAAACCCCTAATACAAGAGTTAATTTTTCCCTTTTTTCTCCAGCATTTATTCATATGAAAGGTAGTCTGTCTTTTGATAAGTATATATAAAGTTCTTCATTAAATTATGGGTTTGTAGAGCCAGCCAGTGGTATGACAGATGGATCCCACATAGCTAAGCATATGGTTTGAGTTCCAGACCCAGCAGCTTGAAAAACACACCAAGCACATACATGACTGTGCATGCCCAAAATACCCAGAGGAGAATGGAGAAAAAGGAATTGGAGTGTGGTCATTCTCCCTGGAGAATGATTTCTCATTTTCCTTCTCTCTCTTTCTTTGTCTCTGGAAATGTAGATCAAAACCACAATGAGATGCCACCTAACCCCAGTCAGAATGACTAAGATTTAAAAAAAAAAAAAAAAAAAAAGACAAGTGCTGGCGGGGGTGTGGTGAAAGGGGAACTCTCTTACACTGATGGTGGGAATGTAAATTGGTTCAGTCACTGTGGAGAACAATTTGGAGATTCCTCAAAAATCTACAAATAGAACTACCATATGATCCTGCAGTCCCACTCCTTGGTATCTACCCAAAGGACAGAATAATTCTTCATCAGAAAAGTGCTTGCACATGGATATTTATTGTGGCACTATTCACAATTGCTAAGACATGGAACCAACCCAAATGCCCACAAACAGATGAATGTATTGAAAAACTGTGGCACGTATACTCTATGGAATACTATTCAGCCATAAAAAAGAACAAGACCCTGGCTTTTGACAGAAAGTGGAAGAATATGGAAGAGTTACTGCTGAATGAAGCAAGCCAGGCTATGAAGGAATGACATTGTATGTCCCCACTTAGTATATACCGAGTGTACGCACTCTAGGACAGAAACTGATTGACTAAAGGATATAGAAACACAGTGGATGTAAATACCCAATGGAGTGTGTGTGAAAGAGTAGTTTCTGAGGAAGGGCACTTGGAAGAAAAATAGAAAGGCAAAGCATTACTAGGACAAAGAAATATTATCTATTGAAAATATTTTATAGTTTTATCAACTGGACTAGGGAGAAATGTTCACATGTTGAAATATTCACTTTGTAAGCTAAATAATGTGATTGAATGTATAAAAGAAAATGAAATAAAAAATATTTAAAACAAAAAAAGAAAAGGAAAGGAAATCTGGTTATGAAAATATCTCTCCAAAATTAGATTTAAACCTTGATTAATTATCCTCATATTCTTGATAGCAGTAATCTCATGTATCCTACATTCCAGCTAAAACAGAGAGCAGTTGTGACATAGTTCAAACACTGTTCTCTTGAAATGAATTGAGGGGTTGCATAGCTTACCTTGACATGCAGCCGTTATCACCTACCCCCAACATTTCCAACCTATTTCGACATGTCTCCAATATAAAGAACTATACCTCAAATGGTAGCCAATGCCCCATTTCTTCTTCAGGAACAGAGAAGAGCCTGCACACCTCAACTTCCCATTGGATATGAACACCTTCCTATC